ATAAAAAATAAAAATATTTGCTTCTCATTGTTTGAGACAATTCCTGAGAAAGCACAGTAATCAGTAAAACACTATACAAATATATAATTTCTATTCAAAGTCTACCTCTGGTCAGAGTCAATAAAAATAATGTTCTGTCCAAGAGAAGAAAAAGTTTGCAAGAAAACAAATGGGACTTGAAAATAAGTAAATGCAAGTTTCTCAGGCTAGTTGAACAGCAAGCACAAATGCTTTATCTATTTCTTTTCCTGACAGTCCTATGTTTGGTTTTTGCTGAGTAACTCATGCAATATTTATAGATATGTGGAGAGAGAGGCACACTTTAACAGGGTAACAGGCAAAATTTTCATTTCTTTTCACAGTTTCTCTAAAGGTACTCTTTCCTCTTAAATTTGTGTTATTAAAATTTATGAGCATGATTCTCAAAATCTCAGCTAAGGTGCTTGTGAAAACATGCAGGAGTTCAAATGCAAATAGTTATGGTACTCAGTGGGAAGGCTGAGAAGAAAGAGTCCCGTTTCTTGTTTGGTTTTATTGGAGAACAATTGCTTTACAATGTGGTATTCGTTTCTGCTGCACAATGAAGTGAATTAGCTGTGTGTATTGCCTCCCTCTGGAGCCTCCCTCCCATCCAGTTTCACTCATCTGTTATACGGAACAGAGAACTCAGCTTGGTGCTCTGTGATAACCCAGAGTCCTATGTTTTTAATAAGTGCTCCAACTTGATTCTGATACAAATATCCTTTAATACATCTTGAGAAACACTACTTTACAACTTATTCCCTATCTGCCTTTTGATAAATTCGTTATTCTCTTTAAAACTCAGTTTATTTATCTATGAAATGAGTTTAATATTATTACCCTACTTAGAAAGTAATTGTGAGGATCATTTAACATAGTGTGTAAGGCATTGAGCAGAGTACCAAGCATATAATTAATACTCAACAAATATGTGTAAGTTTTATAGCTCTGGCCACCGACATCCAAAGACACTTGGCTGCTTTGCTTTAAACAATCAATAAGCAAGCAGATTTGGCAGGGGGAGGGACACTGGGGAAAAACAGAAATACTGAGGATTCTGCTGCTGCTTCAAATATCTTGAGATTTGGCTTTGGAGCATAACGTCATTATTTTCCTATTTTCACTTGTCCATTTAGAGTGTACAAATTGGAACTAATAATTGAGAAAACCAAATTATTAGTTTCAAAGATCAGCCACATCTCTGCAACTTAGTGTTTTATCTCTCCCCAATGGAAAAGCACAGATTTTATATCACTATATATGACTGAATTATAAAGAATAATATTTTAGTGGATGGAAAAATTATAATTAAAAAATGTAAACCAATCAAACCATACCTACAAAGATTCTTTGTATCTGATACTCATACCAAAAGTATCTTTACATGAAGTCAGAATAGCTTGGATTTTAGTAGCACAGTTTCTGTGATCAGCTCACCTAGTTTATATACTAACTCTTCCACTTAATACATGAATGAATTTGGGAAAATATTTTGACTTGTCCATGCTTCTATTTGCAGTTTAGTTGCAACATACTAGTAATAGTAACTATTTCACAGAGCTGCTGTGAAAATCAAAGTAATGCATGTAAAAGACCTTCAAAACAGTACTTGGAACAATAAATAAGACAGTATGATTAAAAACATTAAAAGTAATACAAGTAGCATATTAATGTTTGGTTAAGAGAGCCCAGTGTTTTTCCCAAAGAGATTTATCAGAGAATATACCATACTGGGAACAAACTAGATCTAATATTTAGTGAAGATAAAATTTGAGAGCCCCTGGAAATTAATGTCTGTCACTGAGGTTTCATTTCTTCATTCCTGACATGACTCTTAATGCATATTTTTTATGTTTATTGTTTCTTCCTCTTTGTCACCTCAAGATAGAAACTGCCCCATTGAAAAGATGGAAGGGAGTTAAGTCACATTATTTTCTATGTCAGAATCTCAGGTCACATAAAAATCATATGAAATATTTGGAGAATTTGCTGAATATTCCCCTTTTGCTTCTGGAGATGTTCTTGGTCCCATCATACACCTTGGGAGGGAGAGCTCAAATATACAGTAATGTCTGGGCAAACTTGGCCTCTGATTTACAGTTAATTCAACTTTGGGGAGCTACTAGCAATGTTCATCCCCACTCCAGTGTTATTGCCTGGAGAATCCCAGGGACGGGGGAAGCCTGGTGGGCTGTAGTCCATGGGGTCACTAAGAGTCAGACAAGACTGAGCGACTTCACTTTCACTTTTCACTTTCAATCATTGGAGAAGGAAATGGCAACCCACTCCAGTGTTCTTGCCTGGAGAATCCCAGGAACTGGGGGGGAGCCTAGTGGGTTTCCCTCTATGGGGTCACACAGGGTCAGACTCGACCGAAGTGACTTAGCAGCAGCAATGTTCACGGGGTGAAAGGGGAGAATGATCCTGGTGTTTATTCCACTGGCTCTCTCCTATCATGCTGTGGTTTGGCAAAGGCTGCACATTCTATATCTTAGGCCGTGACCTTATCAGATAGGTCACAAAGTTCCAACAAACACCCTTTCTTTAATCTTTTGGTCCCAGGGATGATAATAACTCACCAATGTATATTTCACCCCTGTTTTTGGTTCCCTTGTTGCTGTGGTTGTTCAGCCACTAAATCGTGTCTGACTCTTTGCGATCCATGAACTGCAGCACTCCAGGCTTCCCTGTCCTTCACCATCTCCCGGAGCTTGCTCAAACTCATGTCCATTGAGTCAGTGATGCCATCCAACCACCTCATCCTCTGTTGCCCTCTTCTCCTCTTGCCCTCAATCTTTTCCATGATCAGGGTCTTTTCTAGTGAGTCCCTTAATCCTTCCCAAAACTTTATAAAAGTGTCCTTGTTAACTGCCCTTAGATGACCCCTGGAGGGTGCCCTTTAGTTTCTTCTGTTACAGAGATCAATAATTGATCCAGTGAGACACTGAAACAAAAGAATTTTGCAGATAGTTGGGATTTGCAGACTGTAAATTACTGAGACATGACTTTTGGCCATGAGGACAAATGGCCAATATACGAATGATGATGAAAGTATCAAATTTCTCAATACCAATACTGTAGTCACAGGATGTGGCAGAAACAATCTTCCATCCATTAAATAATTCATGCTTCCCTTCTACAGTGAAGTTACTACAGAAATCTTGCCAGCCAGGCAAAAATTATGTTGATCTGGCCTAACCTTTAGAACCAAACACGGACATTATTAGTGGATATGAATGTGATACCCAGTACTTCAAGGTCATGACTTTTAAGAAGTGGTTGTACATTTTCCAGCTTCTCCTTTTCTATCCAATGGCTAGAAGTAGGAAAGTTTAATCACTCACAAGATGGAAGGAGCAGGGCTACATTCAGAAGAAAACTACCCATTAACTAGGATTTGTTGTTGTTCGATCACTAAGTCGTGTGTGACTCTTTGTGATCCCATGGACTATACTAACCAGGCTCCTCTGTCCATTGGGTTTTTCAGGTAAGAATACTGGATGGGTTGCCATTTCCTTCTGCAGGGGATCTTCCTGGATGAGGGGTCAAACCCACATCTCCTGTGTCTCCTGCATTGGCAAGTGGGTTCTTTACCACTGAGTCACCTGGGAAGCCCATTAACCAGGATTACTGGAGCCAAAATTGCTACAGAGGAGAATTTACTCCATGCCAGATCTGTTATCTTTTAATTTAACCTTTGCTTCCTGTTGTTTTGTTCACTAAAAGGATACCTTTTTTTTTTCAAGAATAATGTATTCTCTTTCTCTGTTTTTTTTCCCCTTTGCTGAATTTTTTTTTTACTTTTTAAAATATTTAAAAAATTTTTATGATGTTGTGTTGGTTTCTTCCATACAACAATGCCAATCAGCCATAATTATACATATATCCCCTCCTTCCCTAGCCTCCCTCTCCTCCACAGGGAAACAACTGAAATAGCACAATAGTAAATGCATATGTTTGTTGAGTCTAAGATTAAAATAGCAATGATCAAAGACAAAAAAAAAAAGGATACTGTTCACACATAATAACCTGCCTTGGGGAACCCTGCCCCTCTGCCTAAATGTTAAACCAAAATACCTTTGTTAGGGACCCTGTCCACCTGTGGATGGCTACAGGAAGGAAGAAATTAACATATCCCCCACGCTCACTCCACAGAGACTGGCCATTCCAGGAAATGTTTGTAAGATTGATGGCCTTTTCTATCTTACCTCCTCATCCCCATCCCATCTGTTCTATAAAAGAACCTGGTATTAAGTCCCCATAAGATGGTTATTTTGAGACATTTGTCTGCCATCTTCTCCTATTTATTGCCTCGATACTTCATCTCTCATTTAATTGGCCTGTTGTGTGGTGAACAGAGTGAGCTTGGACTAGGCAACAAAATATTATGTAAGTGAGAAGTAAACTTTGTGTTAAACAATAGTTATTTTGAGGTTTACTTGTCACAGCAACTGCATCACCCCAACTAATATATAGTGTGTACATTTATTTTAGGGATTAAATCCCTTCCCATCTTCCTTGTTTAAAGACATACAGTAATGTACAACTCTTTCCATGCTGGTTTGCCCAATGTGAGTTAACCTCATTCTTTGCTATCAAGGTCATCCTCATCTTCACATTCTAACCCAAATATAAGCTCATTCTCTGTCCTTTTCATCTTGACAGTAATCCTGTACTATTACCTTCAACATCTGCTACATTGTAGAAATCAGAGCAATAATCTATTCTGTAACTGGCCATATTGGTTCAGTTTCTTTCTCATTTCCTCCTTTACCAAGTTATGCTTTGGCTAAAACTTCATAAACTTCTGCTTTCTGGATGAAGGTGCATCTATTCTATTCCTTAAACTCAACATATTTTCCCAGGGGTGTGAAAAGTTAGCTAATTTCAGTTCTTGCATTAATCTGCTCCTGACTACAAAACAAGAATTTATCTCAGCCTCTCATGTGGATGGCCTTATCCATCAAAGCATCCCAGACATGCAGGAGGATGAAACATACACCTCTCTTCAGTGGGATACTCCAACATCAAACCCTTATCAGAAACATTTGTCTTCCACCAAAAATTCAGGTAACCAGTTCTAACTATTTACACTAAGACTTTGTGGTTTATGGGTTTTCTTTTCTCCTGTTCTATGATGAGCCCAAGGTGATATTTATAATCTGAGATAACCCTCTTAAAAGTATAATAATATGCAAAATATGCTAATATTAAAAATGAAAAAAAGTGGAGGAGGAGTAAGTAGAGTTGAAAAACAAAAAGAGAAATGGACTTCGCAAATATGCAGTACATTCGGTTTCTCTCTCTGTCCCTCTCTTGCTGGAAAGACAAAGAATTCCCGGGTTTGGAAAATAAGTGAAAGAGCTCACATTGTTTTTTGTAATTTTAGCTCCCACATAAAAAACATCCTGCAAATTATCTGATAAATACTAAGAAATAAAAGAGAAAACATAGGTTGAGAAAAGTGGCAAACACTTATCAGCCTGGGTCAGCTCCGTCTTTAATATAAAATATTTATATCAGTTTCCTTTTGCTTAGATAATAAATTACCACAGATTTAGGGGCATAATACAACATAGCTTTATTTTCTTCTAGTCCTATAGATCAGAAGTCCAAAATGGATTCTGCTGGATTGAAACCAAGGTGTTGTGGGGCTACCTTCCATAGATAGGCTCTAGGGGAGGGGTCCCCAAGTTCTAGGAACTAATGACTGATGATTTGCACTGGAGCTGATGCAATAATAATAGAAATAAAGTGCTCAACAAATGTAATGCACTTGAATCATCCCAAAACCATCCCCTTTCTTGGTCCATGGAAAAACTGTTTTCCATGAAACCAGTCCCTGGTGCCAAAAGATTGGGGAACACTACTACTCTAGGGGACAAACCATTTCCTGTCTTCTCCAGTTTCTAGAGTTGCATCCTTGCTTTCCTTAACCTGTGGCTCCTTTTCCATCTTCAACTACAGTGGCACATCTTCAAATGTGTCTTGGCTTCCTTTATTATATGGTAGTCTGTTCTTCTGATCTATGTCACATTTATAAGGGCCAGATAAAACAGGATGATCTCCCCATTCAAAGATCCTTTACTTAATTATACATTTAAAGTCTCCTTCTCCTCATAAGGAAACGTTTACCGGTTCCAGAGATTAGAATATAGGCATTTTGGGCATTTGGGGCAGAGTCATTATTCAGCCTATGTCATTATCCAGAGATAAATTGTATGCTTTTTTTTCTCTCACTAGCATTAAGAATATAACAAATCACTCACTCATTTTCCCTCCCTGAATTGTTGCAAAATTGTTTTTAAAAACGTTCCTTATCCAAAATCATACGTTCAAAGGGAAATACCTTTGAATCAATCATGCTCAGATGACACCGACCAAAGATGAGGAGATTGGAGACAGCTTTTTAAAATTAATTACTTTATTTATTTATTTACTGTTTACTTTGGGTCTTCCTTGCTGCACGTGGACTTTGTCTCGCTGTGACAGTGGGAGCTGCTTTCTCGTTGCGGTGTGCAGGCTTCTCACTGCAGTGGTTTCTCTTGTGGACACGGGCTCTAGAGCACAGCCTCAGTAGTTGCGGTGTAGGAGTTTAGTTGCTCCGTGGCATGTGGGATCTTTCCAGACCAGGGGTCGAGCCTGTGTCCCCTTTATTGGCAAGAGGATGCTTAATCACTGAAAGTCAAAGTGTTAGTAGTTCAGTCGTGTTTGACTCTTTAGGACCCCATAGATTGTAGCCCACCAAGCTCCTCTATCCATGGAATTCTTCAGGCAAGACTACTGGAGGGGGTTGCAATTCCCTTCTCCAGGGGATCTTCCTGACCCAGCGATCGAACCTGGGCCTCCCGCATTTGCCTCTGAACCACCAGGGAAGCCCTCTGAACCACTAAATTGCCAAGAAGTCCTGGAAACAGCCCTTTTACTGTCAAAAATTAAAGCCTACTGCCTAGTTTGCATCGTCTCTAAAAGACTGTTGGAAGAGAATACATCTACAAGGTACTGAGCTGGTGGTGTCATACAAGGATAAGAGAAGTATGTCGTGAAAGCTGTCCAAGCTGGCATTTTTCCAAGTTATGACTTGCATTTCAAAGAGTTTGAGTTCACCTTTTTCTGTTATACACAGTTACAATGTTACCTCCTCATTTTACTCAGTTTAGTCCTTTCCTGACCCACTTCTTTCCCCTACTTTCTCTAAATCAATTTCATTGCTTCTATTCCTTATTTAGGAGTATGGTGTCTTGTGACAGTGATCTTATGTATTTTCTGCATTGGCTCATTAGCAACCTCCATTTTCTTGGGCATCAAATGTAAGTATAAAAAGATATCTTCAAAATAATTTATAGATAGATAAGTTACATACTACATGTAGCATTACATAGAAGTATGCATATCATTTTAACTGGAACTTCATAACTTATAAATTGATAAATAAATCAATTAGAAACACCTAAATAAACCGGCCCCTAACACCCTGTATCATGCATCGAACCTGGACTGGTGATTCATTTCACATATGATAGTATACATGTTTCAATGCTGTTCTCCCAAATCATCCCACACTCGCCCTCTCCCACAGAGTCCAAAAGACTGTTCTATACATCTGGGTCTCTTTTGCTGTCTCGCATACAGGGTTATTGTTACCATCTTTCTAAATTCCATATATATGCATTAGTATACTCTATTGGTGTTTTTCTTCCTGGCTTACTTCACTCTGTATAATAGGCTCCAGTTTCATCCACCTCATTAGAACTGATTCAAATGTATTCTTTTTAATGGCTGAGTAATATTCCATGGTATATATGTACCACAGCTTTCTTATCCTTTCATCTGCTGATGGGCATCTAGGTTGCTTCCAGGTCCTGGCTATTATAAACAATGCTGTGATGAACATTGGGGTACATGTGTCTCTTTCAAGAGGGATGAGATGGGGAGGGAGGTGGGAGGGGGTTCAGGATGGGGAACACATGTACACCCACGGCAGATTCAAGTCAATGTATGGCAAAACCAAATACAATATTGTAAAGTAATTAGCCTCCAATTAAAATAAATTTAAAAAAAAGAAACACCTAAATGAATATAAATGATATAAAATAATGACTTCCTTATTTAAGTTATGGAACATTCATTAGCTATAACTCTCTAAAGCACTTGGGTGCCACTGATAACTTTTAATGTTCAATGGCAAGCTGTTTAACTCAAATCCAATACCATAGGTCTCTTTGGGAAAAATGATGCAAATAATTGCTTACATTATGATCCCATTTATGAATTATGTTAATATGCCAAAGCATGCAATTTGACGGTTTTCAGTACTATGCTCTTCCTTTTCTAATATACATTTATTCTAATTATACAGATTATTTTATTATGAACTTTTCAGTTTATATTAGACAAGGTACAATTTAGTATGTTTAAGACAAATGTGAGAACTTTACTTGGGCCAACATTTTGCCACATTTCTTTTTTTCTTTCAGTTCAAAGTGAAGACATGCTTTTATATATAGCAAATGAATTTTTTATAAAATGTAACAATTACAGAACCACAGGTTCCAGAAAAAAGGCCAAGAACCTTTATTGTCACTTATGCTAGCACAAAGAATATACTTAGAAAGACAGTGATGAAGAGTAATTGTCTAGATAATTCTTATGTCTTGTATGCCTTGTCAAATCATTTCTCCATCTAGGCGGAATTAGCTGGTGATGAATTAACTGCTGTAGCAAATGAATAGAACCCAGGAGGGAGTCATGGAAACTTCTGATTTGTAGCCAAATCAAAAAGAAGTCATGTTAACCTGGGGATCTACTACTTGCATTGGCATTTGAGGTGGGGAGCAGTCTTTGGGAAGGAGCTCTTAACCTCTGGAAACTGACACTATTTCAAGGAAGATAGTGTCAGAATTAAATTAAATTATAGGACACCCAACTGGTGTTGTGGAGCAGGGCAAGGGGGTGGGGTGGAATGGGAACAATAAATTTGGTGAACAGAAGTGTCAGAAATGTGAGTGTGGTAGTAGTGTAAAAGTCAAGTAGATTCAAACATATGCAATTTGCATCAGGATACATGGAAGGTAATTTGGAAATATCTAATGCAATGTAAATGCACAAAACTTTGACCTATTAACTTATCTTAAAAATACACTTACACAAATGATAACAATCTTTTTACATGGTTTTTCGGTTTTCATTTGATCACTTAAAATGTATTCTTGACATAATACTATGTTAGTACATAAAGAGCTTTCTCATTTCTCATATGTTTTTCTGTTTCTGACTATGTATAACTAAGATTCCTCATTACAGTAATTCTTTCTACAATAACAAAAGATTACAAAAAGACAATCAATCACTATTAAAATAAATCGTGATATATCCATACAATAGAATCCAATATAAAAAAGAATGAGAAAGCTCTTTATGTACTAACATAGATTAGAAAAAATTACAATTTGTATGTAAATACAAAAGACCCTAAGTAGCCAAAGCGATCTTGAGAAAGAAAAATGGAGCTGGAGGAATCAGACTCCCTGACTTCAGACTATACTACAAAGCTGCAGTCATCAATAGAGTATGGTACTGGCACAAAAACAGAACTATAGATCAATGGATAGAAAGCCCAGAGATAAACCCATGAACCTATGGTCACCTAATCTATGACAAAGGAGGCAAAAATATACACTAGAGAAAAGACAGCCTTTTCAATAAGTGGCACTGGGAAAACCAGACAGCTATGTGTAAAAGAATGAAATAAGAGCATTCTCTAACACCATACACAAAAATAAACTCAAAATGGATTCAAGACCTAAATGTATGGCTGCACAATGTAAAACTTAGAGGAAGACATTGGCAAGAACAGTCTTTGACATAGATTACAAGATCTTTTTTGACCTACCTTCTAAAGTAATGAAAATAAAAACAAAAATAAACAGAGGAGACTTAAAAGCTTTTGCACAGCAAAGAAAGACATATATGAGACTAAAAGACAGCCCTAAGAATGGGAGAAAATATTTGCAAATCAAGCAACCAATAAGGGGATTGATCTTCAAAATATACAAATAGCTCATGTAGCTCAATATCAAAAGGTGAACAACACAATAAAAAAATGGGCAGAACACCTAAACAGACATACTTTGTAGCTTTTAATCATAAATATAATGAGTAATATGTTGTTCTCTTCAGTCTGCATTGAAGGTTTATTTTGTTATGTGTCAGTATTTTATCAGGAATGGTTGTTATTGTTTGAAGTGTTTCAGATGTCCACTACTATAATGAAGCAGCAAGAAAAACTCATCCAACAGGAGAGAGCACTGCTCAACTTCACAGAGTGGAAGAGAAGCCCCAATCTACAGATGACATATTGCCAAACCTTAATGCAGAATTCTTTCAGTTCAGGTAATTGATATAAAATCAATTTTCACTGTGCAGATACCAATGTACACACCAGTTCCTCAAAATAACAACAGCAAAACAAAAAACAAAAAACCCACAATAACACATATTTCTCTGTAAATTATACTCAGGATTTCATAAAAAATAGGAGAGAGATACCTTTGATCTGCTCTTCAGTTCAATGTCATTTATACATACATCAATGCTAAGTCACTTTAGTGGTGTCCAATTCTTTGTGACTACATGGACTGTAGCCCGCCAGACTCCTCTGTCCATGGGATTCTTTAAGCAAGAATACTGGAGTGGGTTGCCATTCCCTCCTCCATGGGAATCTTCCTGACTCAGGGATCGAACTCACTTCTTCTGCATCTGTTGCATTGTAGGCTGATTCTTTACCACTAACACCACCTGGGAAGCTCATATTACATAAATAGTATGTGGAAAATACTGAGGTTCCACAAAAAATGAAAAAAAAAAGAAAATATACAGGCAAATGTCAAAATGTAATGTGTGAGATGAGTAGGTAAGATTAAACAAAAAGAGAAACATTTCATGTTTCATCCAATCATTCAAATTTGTGTGAATCTCCAGTATTCTTGCCTAGAGAATTCTATGGACAGAGGAGCCTGGCGAGCTGCAGTCCATGGGTTCACAAAGAGTCTGGTACAACTGAACACACATTCTTACACCTACACATAAAATTTAGAAAATCAAATTTTCTGTAGTGGCTATCATTTTAGTAATTGTCAGTAAGCCAGGTAGTTCCTTCTAATTGAGATTTAATCAAGTAAATGTTTAAAAAAATGCAGTGTTTTAGGGACTGCTGAAAGCATGGATTAGGCCTGCCTCTGAATCATCAACCTTACTTAATCAGCGTTGTTGCTGTGTAGTCGCTCAGTCACATGATCGCTTAAATCAGTGACAAAATCCATTTTGGAGATTAATTCAAATCCAGCATGTCTCTCAGCCTTTCAACTGCCATTGTCAGCATTGCTTATGCTATAACTTTAATAATATTCAGGATACTGATTAGAGTCGTTCTCAAAGGATATTGAAGAAGAGCCCTAAATAATTTGACATCTGGGCCATGGAAACTGACAATGAACTATTTGTGACCCTAAGTGGAAGGCTTTTCCCTGGAGACTACAGTTCTGAAAGTATCAGAGTCTTTCTTTCTATAAAATTGTGTTAGAAACACTTGGTCCAAGTTTTGCTCTTTGATTCCCCTTTTATACATCTGAGCATCCTTCTTACATTTTTTCTTAAGATAAGTTCTGTAAAACTGGTAAAACTTTAAGACTTACTTCTTAGTTATATCAAAGTCCTAAATTAAACTTATTGGTCACTTGTTCAATTTTCCTCACCTACATATTTTAAAATCACTCCTCAAGGTGCACTGTTTGTTCTCTCCATTATATGAGAAACATTTTCATGCTTGACTCTCAGAATTTAAACATCAGCTTGAGGCTCAGTACATTCTCAACTAAACTGAGCCAATAATATTAATGGACACAAAACAATAAGCAAACAAGTGAAGATTATAAATGATGCAAGGTTAAAAGGAGGAAAGATACCTAAAAATAAAATAATCAGATCAATTATTATACAAGAGAAACAATCTGGGAAAAATATTCCCAAATTAATTTTATCTTAAACTCTTAGAGACCTATTGCATTTGGAAGTAACTATACAAATCTTAAAGCATTCAGCTTCGAAGGAGTTTAAATTGCTGAGAACTGCATCATATGAGCCATTGGGTTAAAGCAGAGGTCCCCAACCTATGGGATCTAATGTCTGATGATCTGAGCAAGAGTTGATGTAATAGTAATAAAAATAAAGTGCATAATAAATGTAATATGCTTGAATCACCCTGAAACCATGTCCTGCTCCCAGGTCCATGGAAAAATTGCCTTCCATGAAACCAATCCCTGGTGCCAAAAAAGTTGGGGACCATTGGAAAGAATTCAGCCCCACTGGGAATAATACAAGGCATTCTTTTGCAGAGATGTGCTACCAATATTTTTACAATAACTTTAATGAAATGTTTATATTTGAAGCCTGTAACTGCAGCCCTTGTCCAAGCAACTGGATTCAGAATGGAGAAAGTTGTTACTATGTCTTTGAAAGCTGGAAATTTTGGCACACTAGTAGAGAGGATTGTTGGAAGAAGGGCTCTGATCTTCTGCAAATAGAGAGCAAAGAAGAAATGGTAAACACTGCTTTATGATTTCATATCATTCTGAAAATACCTATGAAATGAAAAGACTGATTCTCATAGAATTCCTTAATACTCTGTAACAATGGTATATTTGTTGGGGAAAAATAAGGTTTAACATTCAAAGTAGGAATTGGCATGGCTTGTTTTCCTTTTAATTGGAGAAGCAAAATATAGGATGGTTATTCAGAAATCAGGGAGAATATGTTAGTTCTATGTTATTTGTTAATTAAAAAGGGGAGGGAGCAAGAGAAATTCCATTTTGTAACATGCTAATCCACTCCCAGATATGCACACATTATAATTGTATATATGTTTAATTTTTTTTAATTTAAAATTTCAATACTTTAGGGAGGTATACTAAACTATAACAATTATATAATTATCAAGAAAAGTAGAAGTACAAAAAGTGAGGTGACATCATGAAATGGAGAGATCTGTGAAGATAAACATTTGTTAAATGAACTGTTTAATTGACATTAAACCTAATTTACTAATATTTTAATGAGTAAGATGTCTCCTTGAAATTGTTATACCCATATATTATGTGTGAAGTAGAAAGCACAGTTATACATTTCTGAATTTATTAAAAATGTATGTCTGCTATATTCAGTAATTAGTCAAAGCTCATTTTTATAAGAATACTAGAACAATTTGTTAAGGATATATAATATACCAAAACAACTTGGACTAGCTAATGACAGTTATGGGTTTGCACTATTTTTCTGTGCAAATTAAGTGACAGAAGTTAGAAGCATTTATTCCTACAAAATATGCCTGCAGTTAAGTTACTTCTGGAGTCTTCTAAACTATTTCTCACATTAACGTATCTTGGAAAAGACATATATACTATCTGCCAAATTCTGAATCCATTAAAATTATCTTGATATCAGATGCCTATTTTTTTCATAGTTTTCAACACCACCTTGATCATTTAGCAATAAGGGGGAAAGTATACTTTCTTTAAAGTCTCTTTCTAGCCTTCAAATTCTAATTACATTTGTAGAGCAAAATATCAAACTTATATTTCATGGTAGTTTATTTGCTTTTTGTTTGTTTTGGAGTATCTTGGTTCATTGTTCAAGTCTTGTTTCTTATAGAACTTTATCATGGGCAGCCTGAAGAAGATCAAAAGAAACTATGATTACTGGGTAGGACTGTCACAGTATGGGCCCGACCAACCTTGGCTTTGGCAGGATGGCTCCTCTCCTTCCGCTGACCTGTAAGTCTCTAAGGGAAATGTTCCAAGAATTAGACACAGGTGGGAAATTAGCCATTCATTTTATCTTATACCTTACATTTCCTCCAGGAGACATAATGAGCATGATAATTTCATAAGCTTCTGATTGGAAACCAAGCCAAGATAAAGAGTAGCTATGTGGCTTCTAAATAGTTCTCCTTCTCAGCCCCACGCGAACACATTCACATTAAAATCTGAAAGTCTGAATGAATGAGATGTGATTATCAAGTACATATCCTTTGTATCATTGAATGGAGAGAGTGCTAATTAAGCAATTCCCATAGTAAGATTTCAGAAAGAACTGGGGAGACTGGTCAGCAGTGCCTTCATATTTTGAAAATTAAGAGTCAGAAAAGAGATTTGAAATTACAGCCTATCTTTGTGTATTCAAGCATTTTTAAAAATATGCTGCTCGTTGAAATAATATTTGCACATACTAAGAAAATAGCACTGTTATTGAAGAAGGAGGGAAAAACTACCACAAGAGGGTGACAGATTAAAACAAAAAGCTGTGCATCTCTCATTTTATTGCCCAAAGAACATCTCTGTGAGCCCACACCTAACCTCAGATACACGGACTTGCCACTCCAGGTTGCCAAGACAGAGATCCCAGTCAACTAATCAGGTCTGTGGATACCTCAGAGACAACGACCTTTCTTCTGCAAACTGCAGCATTTGGAAATATTTCATCTGTGAGAAGTACGCACTAAGATCTTACACCTGAAAGAAACTTTGCTTAAAGTGATCACTCCATTATGATCATATTTGCAACAGATCCTTCAAAAACCTGTAATGATGAGCCTACGAGCCAGCGCAGAACTAAACCAGTGCAAGGGCTGTAAAACCAGCTACCTGGGACACAAAATCTATCTTGCCTTTACACTTGGTAGTATTCCTCAGTGCTTTCCAGATGTTTCTTTGACACTGTTCAAATTAATTACCAAGGATAAAATTGGTTTAGAGCAACAGACGACAAAACTGTAAAGAGTGGAGAACAAGCTGAAGAAAAATGATTTCCATTTGTCTTTTAGTTTTCTTTCTCTCTCTATTTTTTTTTTTAATTTAGAGTGACTGTAAACTCTACAGAAAAATCAATAAATCACTGGCGAGATGATGCAATTTTAGCTAACTGATGCCTTTTTTAATAAATGAATAAATGTGATCTCACTGTTTGCAAAATCTTTCTATGCATTTACTGGGCTTGCCAGGCATTATGTTATCAGACTGGTAGGATGGAAAGACAGTGACATGGATTTTCAAATTGGAAAGAAGATAGGCTGCTATCTGCTGCCTGTAAGACAAAAGCATCTTTAGGACTGCAGAATTTTACTGGAGAGAAGAAAAACCAGAGCTACATGTATGTGGAAGGAACAGTCAGGCTGGCATGGCAGCATGTCTTCAGTAAAGAAGAGCTGTGACCCATATGTAAAATAGACAGCTAGTGGTGGGAAGTTGCTATATAAACAGGGAACTCAACCCGGTGCTCGGTGAAAACCTAGAGAGGTAGGATAGGATGAGGTGGGTGGGAGGAAGGTTCAGGTTCACGTATGCTTGTGGCTGATTCACGTTGTTTTATGGCAGAAATCAACACAACACTGTGAAACAATTATCCTTCAATTAAAAATAAATTTTTTAAAAAACTACAAAAATAAAAGAGAACTGTGAGCTTCCTTTCTACCTCTTACTGACCATCCCCACTGCTCACATATCAAATGACTCATGACCTGTATGACAGACTCCAGGTTCATCCACACTACTACAAATGACTCAATTTCATTCCTTTCTATGGCTGAATAATATTCCTTTGTATGTACGTACCACATCTTTATCCATTCATCTGTTGATGGACATCTAGTGTGCTTCCTTGTCCTGGCTAAAATAGTTGCTGCAGTGAACTGTTATACAGAGTGAAGTAAGTCAGAAAGAGAAAATCAAATAACAGATATTAGTGCATATATATGGAATCTAGAAAACTGGTACTGCTGAAGCTATTTGCAGGGTAGGAAGGAATAGAGACACAGGTGTAGAAAACAAACTTGTGGACACAGGGTTGAAAAGGAGAGGGTGGGAGGAACTGAGAGAGTAGCTTTGACATATCTACACTACCATGTGTCAAGTGGTGTCTAGTGGGAAGCTACTGTATAACACAAGGAGCTCTGCTTGGGGCTCTGTAATGACCTAGTTGGGTGGAATGGGGGGCGGGGTGGGAGGGAGGCTCAAGGGGGAGAGGATATATGTATACATGTGGCTGATTCACCTTACTGTACAACAGAAACTAACACAACATTCTAAAACTATTACACTCCAATTTTAAGAGAAAGAAAAAAAAAAGACTCATCATCTGGATCCCTGAGACTAACATTCCAGCACTTTTCACTACATCTCTCAGTGCCTCAATTTCCTCCTTGAAACTAATCATAGAATTTGCTTCAAAATATTGTTTGAGGATGAGATTATCCATGTATGTAAATTTGCTGAGAATAGCATCTTACATGGAATTTAACACTCTACTTGTGCTTGCTGTTGTTGTCTGGGTAAATCCCCAGTCATCTCTAGACATCAACCTCTCTTGTGTACTCCAGATAAAAACAATCCCTTTACTGCTCATGTTATAAGGATATCAAGAAGACAAAGTTTATAGGTAAATGTCACCAAGTTTCTGGAGAGGATACTTGTCTTAAACCTGATGAATCTATAGACAGTCTCTGTCCTAGGTCTGCAAATTCCCTGAAGCATGGACTAGCTTGTTCCCTAGAGACAATGGGTGTGAAAGTGTCTTGGGACTTATAGGAAGGAAATTTTCATTAATTATTATTATATTACTTTTCTACCACTTATCTACCATCCCTAGAACAACACCTTACCATAAAGCAGACTCTCATCAAATACATGCTAAATTAAAAATACTTTTACTTAATCTCTCATTTCTGACAAAAAGGAGCTGAGATATGTAAGATTCTTATCGTTCTCTCCTTATAACAAAGACCCCACTTAGAGTAAAATGAAATCTAATTTACTGCGACAGTAGAAATCATTTGCCTCCTATACAATGTCAGGAACTTCTGTTCTTAGTTCATCAGGCACTCCGTCTATCAGATTTAATCCTCTGAATCTATTTCTCACTTCCACTGTATGCAAAAAGGCAAAATGGTTGTCTGAGGAGGCCTTGCAAATAGCTGTGAAAAGAAGAGAAGAGAAAGGCAAAGGAGAAAAGGGAAGATATACCCATTTGAATGCAGAGTTCCAAAAGAATAGCAAGGAGAGATAAGAAAGCCTTCCTCAGTGATCAGTGCAAAGAAATAGAGGAAAACAATAGGATGGGAAAGACTAGAGATCTCTTCAAGAAAATAAGAGATATCAAGGGAACATTTCATGCAAAGATGAGCACAATAAAGGTAAACCTAACAGAAGCAGAAGATTTTAAGAAGAGGTGGCAAGAATACACAGAAGAACTGTACAAAAAAGATCTTCATGACCCAGATAACCACAATGATATGATTACTCACCTAGAGCCAGACATTCTGGAATAAGAAGTCAAGCGGGCCTTAGGAAGGCCCTATGAACAAAACTTGTGGAGGTGATGGAATTCCAGTTGAGCTGTTTCAAATCCTAAAAGATGATGCTGTGAAAGTGCTTCACTCAACATGCCAGCAAATTTGGAAAACTCAGTAGTGGCCACAGAACTGGAAAAGATCCGTTTTAATTCCAATCCCAAAGAAAGGCAATGCCAGAGAATGCTCAAACTACTGCACAATTGCACTCATCACACTTAGCAGCAGCAGCACATGCTAATAAAGTAATGCTCAAAATTCTCCAAGTCAGGCTTCAACAGTACGTGAATCGTGAACTTCCAGATGACTAAGCTGGTTTTAGAAAAGGCAGAGGAATCAGAGATCAAATTGCCAACATCTGCTGGATCATCAAAAAAGCAAGAGAGTTCCAGAAAAAAACATTTATTTCTGCTTTATTGACTATGCGAAAGCCATTGACTGTGTGGATCACAACAAACTGTGGAAAATTCTTAAAGATATGGGAATAACAGACCACTTGACCTGCCTCTTGAGAAATCTGTATGCAGGTCAGGAAGCAACAGTTAGAACTAGACATGGAACAACAGACTGGTTCCAAATAGGTAAAGGAGTACGTCAAGGCTGTATATTGTCACCCTGCTTACTTAACTTATATGCAGAGTACATCATGAGAAATGCTGGGCTGGAGGAAGCACAAGCTGGAATTAAGTTTGCCCGGGGCAATATCAATAACCTCAGACATGCAGATGACACCACCCTTATGGCAGAAAGCAAAGAAGAACTAAAGAGCCTCTTGATGAAAGTGAAAGAGAAGAGTGAAAATTTTGACTTAAAACTCAGCATTCAGAAAACTAAGATCATGGCATCTGGTCCCATCACTTCATGGGAAATAGATGGGGAAACAGTGGAAACAGTGAAAGACTATTTTCTTGGGCTCCAAAATCACTGCAGATGGTGACTGCAGCCATGACTGCAGCTTCTTGGAAGAAAAGTTGTGAACAACCTAGACAGCATATTAAAAAGCAGAGACATTACTTTGTCAACAAAGGTCCATCTAGTCAAAGTTATTGTTTTTCCAGTAGTCATGTATGAATGTGAGAGTTGCATTATAAAGAAAGCTGAGTGCCGAAGAACTGATGCTTTTGAACTGTGGTGTTGGAGAAGACTTTTGAGAGTCCCTTGGATTGCAAGGAGATCCAACCAGTCCATCCTAAAGGAAATCAGTCCTGAATATTCATTGGAAGGACTGATGCTGAAGCTGAAACTCCAATACTTTGGCCACCTCATGAGAAGAACTGACTCATTTGAAAAGACCCTGATGCTGGGAAAGATTGAAGGTGGGAGGAGAAGGGGATGACAGAGGATGAAATGGTTGAATGGCATCACCTACTCAATGGACATGAGTTTGAGAAAACTCCCGGAGTTGGTGATGGACAGGCAGGCCTGGCATGCTGTGGTTCATGGGGTCACAAAGAATTGGACATGACTGAGAGACTGAACTGAGAAATCATTTAAATGAACCTGGAAGTCTCTTGTAAAAGATGACCTCAGAAGGAGAAGCTCCTTTAAGAGTGAGATGAGTGTGTTTTTGCATTTGTTTCTTTATTTACACTTGACTTGGAGTTTAAATGGGAATTTCAATAAAAGGGATTTTTCTCTAGTTTTCTGCTGAACCCATAAAAGGAGAATAGCAAAGAAAACATAAGCTGTCTCTTCTGGTTTGCACAGCTGGCAGCTGACAGTTCAATATAATAACCTGGAATGAAGGAGAAACAATGGCAAATTTTAGTAGGAAAGACTGTTTGTCTTCAAGACTCTTCAAAGTATTGTCATGGAGTTGTGTTTAGAGAAAGGATAGGAAGCATTTAATAACTCTTTTGAGAACAAGTACAATGAAGCCAGAGGCAAACATCCTTCGGCTGACATCATCCGTCAGCATGTGATGCAGTATTTACACGTCTGAGTTTTATCTCCAGAGCAGCTGGCATAAACCTCTACAGATTTCCTCAGTTGCAATATTGCTTTCCACACAGATAGCACAGGTGGAAGATTTTTCCTTGCAGTTTTCTTTTGGCCCAGAACAACAAGGCTTTTTCAACACAATGGTAAGATATTGGACCTTAGCACCAGGATAATCAAGTTTATACCCTCAGTTCAGCTCAGTTGTGTCCAACTCTTTGCGACCCCATGGAAGCACTCCAGGCTTCCCTGTCCATTACCAACTCCCGGAGCCTATTCAAAATCATGTCCCTTGCGTTGGTGATGCCCAGGAGATAATGAACTGGGTATCTGATCCATCACATTGAGTTCCAGATTAGTTCTTTTTAAATTTATTTTTAATTAGAGGATTACTTGACAGTGTTAAGTTTCTGCTGGACAACAACATGAATCAGCTATAAGTATACATATATCCCCTCCCTCTTTAGTCTCGCTCACACAACCCACATCCCACTCTGCTGGCTCATCCCAGAGCACTGAGCTGAGCTCTCTGAGTTATACCACAGCTTCCCACTAGCTGTCTATCGTACACATGGTGGTGTAGATATGTCAACGCCGCCCTCTCAGTTCATCTCACCCTCTTCTTCCCCGGCTATGTCCAGAAGTCCGTCCTCTACATGTGCTTCGCTATGCCTGCCCTGCAAATAGGTTCATCAGTACCATTTTTCAGATCAGTTTTTAAAAAGTAAAAGGATAGGAAAAATAAAACCCTATCCTGCAAATGTAACGAGGCTTTTTTAACATGCTTTATTCAAAGGCCATTACATGTATGAAAAGAAAAACTTTTTAGTAACATTGAAAGAATAATAATACATTAGATTCCAAAAAGTCTGTTCATACAACGAAACTGTACCAGAAGTTATGTACACCTTAAATCAGATTATGCTGCTTTTTGTATTCTTTGAAAGCTATAAGAATTCCATTAGAAAGTATCTGACTTCCAAATATTGAGGCCAACCCTGAGACAGCCTTCTAGACCTTCCTACATATTTCACAATCAGCTACTATCTCTAAAACAAAAGTTCCCAGCACACTTCTCACATTTCCTGCTGCTACAGGGCTCCTGACCTGTTTCCTGTTGATAAGTTTTTAAGAGTGGTTCAATATCCTCAGGAAAAGAAATAGCTCATTGTGTACCCTGGGGAACTCAGATCTACCAGGAAAGGTCATGTTCCTCATTTGACTTTTCCCTGCAATTTCTTCAGAATTACCTAAATGCACAAGAATCTAGAAAATAAATCTTCTCGTGTTGGAAAACCCATTCACAGGGTGATACCCTCTCTGATTTTTGACAGAAAATTGTTCTCAGAAAGCTGTATTTTCAAAGTCATGTTATGATTATTTCCTATTTTTAAAATTAAAAAAAAAAGAGAGAAGTTTGTGGAAAGAATAATGTGTCGTATTTCTTTCTGTTCTTTTAAAATATTTTACCCACATTGTGATCAGTATTGTGGATTTTGTTAGGCTGAGAAGGAATTGAGGAAAGGGTTGGAGAGGAATCGGGTCAAGAATTAGTAGAATTAGTTTCATATGAAATTCTCCAGGCCAGACTACTGGAGTGGGTAACCATTCCCTTCTCCAGGGGATCTTCCCAACCCAGGCCTCCTGCATTGCAGGCAGATTCTTTACCTGCTGAACCACCAGGGAAGCCCTTTAATCTATTAATAAATGTTAAATGAAAGCTATTCAGTGAATTAAAGTCATCGTTGTAGCAACACATACAATTGTTGACTTCCCTGGTGGCTCAGATGGTACAGAATCTGCCTGCAAAGCAGGAGACCTGGGTTGGATCCCTGAGTTGAGAAGTTCCCCTGGGAAAGGGAATGGCAACCCACTCCATTATTCTTGTCTGGAGAAGTCAATGGACAGAGAAGCCTGCTGGGCTAAAGTCCATGGGGTCGCAACAAGTCAAACATGACTGAATTGAGTGAGTAACACACTTTCAGTAAAGATTTAACAATATTTTCTGTCTCATATAATCAGTGAAGTTTTAACAGCATTTTATATCTTATATAATATGCATTTTATTAAACAAATCTGTTTGTTTTGCACATTTAATGCTAGAAGTTTGGAAAATGCAGAGGAATAAAGTGTGGTTTCTTTTTTTCCAAAAATAAATAAATAAATGCTATTATTTTTCCTTCTTCCTCATCTAAAATGACACTTCCCCTTAGGTTGCAGATTTGGAGAGAAAACACTGTTCATTACCCACTAACCAGGCAGCTAGGCCGGCTAAAGCAATGACATTTAGAGACATTTGTCATCCACACTGAACCAGTCTGTAGTTGTGTAAGATGCCAGGGGTCAAAACCGAATATGTGCTAATTTTACTCAGTTCACAAAATCACCTGGCTTTCTCATGAGGCAAGGTTTGAATAATACTTAATTGCTTAACTAAAAGCCTAATCCCTGCCTCTTGTTATATGCTTATTATATTAACCATGTTCATTAAACATGTGTACTTGTCATATAAAATATTTTGTAATTAATATCCACAGGTCCCCAGTGTAGGGATCTTGGCAATTTGTTCATGAAAGAAAGTTGTTTTTTGCTTGCTTTCACTCACCTATTTTTTAAAATTAAATCCCTTCTCTGCTTTGCAACATATTTTTAATATCCCTTACATTATATATTACAATGTAGATTATGAAACTAATTTCACATGTACCTCATTTCATCTAACAGTAACACCCTGAGAAAACTGTAAATATGCCCACTTTATGCCTAATGAAATAAGCTTTGTGAAGTAAAGGGATTTGTCTGATAATAAATTACAATAAGGGGTCTTTAACTCTCATTTTATGGCCACAAATGTAGTTCTTTCTGCATGACACAATAAATTAATGCAAAATTTGTTCAACAATGAAGAAATTTCCTAGCTAACCAATGGAAAACTGAAAGGAAAATTCATAAGAAAGAAATCTACAAGCAATGATTGATAAGTGGCACAGTATTAGGGGAATAAACACAACCATCTTCTCTTTATTGTGTATTTGCTAATTTTATGTCATTTCACCATGAGATAGATGTTTATGAAAAATAAAAGTGAAGTATCCCAGCTTCCACCGTTGAAAAAAAAGAATGATAACATTATCCCTTCTAGTGTTAAACCCCTAAAATTGACTTCTCTCTAAGCCAATGAAGTCAGGGTGTCGTGCTGGTGTTATTTGGAATTTCTGCTACGTGTGTGCATATTGTTATTTTGAGCAGGGGACACCTGCACAAGAAGCCAGCTGTGTGTATAGATGTCACACTGTCCCTTTCATTTGCCACGATCTGATTAATAACTTACCCTTTCACAATTCAGTTGACTCATCCTTAGCCATATGCTGAAGACATACGCATAACTAAAAAGATTTAAAATTCAGAATGGTAAAACTATCCTCCTGACGACAGCATGCCTCTCCCAGACTTCTTAGTTTCCTCAAATAGTGAAATAATCAGTACTATTGCAAAAGTAACTACAAACTCTCAATAAGACACATATGACCACAACATTGATTGCTATCATATTTTGTGGAAGAGCACCCTGAAGTTGAGTTTTTCCCTAAATCATAAGTCCATTCTAAAATCGCCAAAACTTTCCACTATTTATATTTATTATTATTAAATCTTCAGTACCTGGGAGAGTACAGGACTTAGCGACTAAACCACAGCAACATCTGGAAGGTACTCAGTTCAGTTCAGTTGCTCAGTCGTGTCCGACTCTTTGCGACCTCATGAATCGCAGCACGCCACGCCTCCTTGTCCATCACCAACTCCCGGAGTTTACTCAAACCCATGTCTATCGAGTCAGTGATGCCATCCAACCATCTCATCCTCTGTCGTCCCCTTCTCCTCCTGCCTCCAATCCCTCCCAGCATCAGGGCTTTTTCCAAAGAGTCAACTCTTCGCATGAGGTGGCCAAAGTACTGGAGTTTCAGCTTCAGCATCAGTCCTTCCAATGAACACCCAGGACTGATCTCCTTTAAGATGGACTGGTTGGATCTCCTTGCAGTCTAAGGGACTCTCAAGAGTCTTCTCCAACACCATAGTTCAAAAGCATCAGTTTTTCGGTGCTCAGCTTTCTTTATATAACAGGGACTAAATGGACAGAAATAGGAGCTGGACCCACACTAGGCCAGGTGCATAGAGAGTCTAGAGTTGTGTTCTGCAGAGCAGAAGCTTCCACCTCTCTGAAGGGGGCCTGCAGTTGCGGTTGTAGCTGGAGAACTGTTCACCTCCACCTCCGGCTCAGAGGCTCATGGAGACTCTGCACCTTCACCATGGCTGCAGCTTTTTCACAGGCGCATCGTCTCAGCTCTCTGCAGTCCTTGGAAAAAGCCTTCCCATTGAGGATGGTCACACAGTCCCTGCTTCTCAGGTTGGTCAAATCTATCATAACCTCAAACCTCAAAAAAGAAAGAAAAAAGTTACTTTATCATAGTTTATTTCTAAAATAAGGAAAGTACATAGAGAGGGTCCCAAGCTAGATAAAGTTGTAGAAGAGACACCCAGAATAAGTTTACTGAAAAATGGAGTCACCAGCCCCTTTCCTCTCGGCCCCTCAACTTCCACATACATTCCAGGGGCATCAGGTCACTCAAAACAACAAGAACTATTTCTGACTAAAATTAAAATACACATTGTCATCCAACGTATCATATGATTTTACTGCCATCCAAAAAACTATCTATCTTCTCTGTGACTCAGTTTATTTAACCGTAGAATAAAAAATAATCACATTGAATATGTACTCTCTCCTGGAAAAATAATCTTATATAGGTATATAGGGGTTTCCCTGGCAGCTCAGATGGTAAGGAATCTGCCTGCCATGCAGGAAACCCGGGTTCGATCCCTGGGTTGGGAAGATCCCCTGAAGAAGGGAATGGCAGCTCACTCCAGTATTCTTGCCTTGAGAAGTCCATGGACAGAGGAGCCTGCGGGGCCACAGTCCATGGGTTTGCGAAGAGTCAGACACAACTGAGCGACTAACACTTTTCACTATAGTTATACAGAAAGGGGTCTGCTCAAATATGGTTTTAAATTGTTATATATTTTTAAATTAATTTTTATTGGAGCAAAGTTGCTTTACAACATTGTGTTAGTTTTTACTGCACAGCAAAGAGAATCAGCTACACACGCGTGCGTGCTAAGTCTCTTCAGCCGTGTCCGACTCTTTGCACCCCCATGGACTGCAGCCTGCCAGGCTCTGCTGTCCATGAGGATTCTTCAGGCAAGAACACTGGAGTGGGTTGCCATGCCCTCCTCCAGGGGATCTTCCCAACCCAGGGATCGAACCCACATCTCTTACATCGCCTGCATTGGCAGGCATGTTCTTTACCCACTGAGCCACCTGGGAAGCCCAAATCAGCTATATGCATATCTATATCCTTTCTTTTTGGGTTTCCTTCCCATTTAAGTCACCACAGAGCATTGAGTAGAGTTCCCTGTGCTATACAGTAGGTTCTCATTAGTCATCTATTTTATACATTAGTATCAGTAGTGTATATATGTCAATCCTAACCTCCCAATTCACCCCAATTCACCCCTCCTGCTCCCCCCTGATATCCATATATTTGTTTTCTATGTCTGTTTCTCTATTTCTGCTTTGCAAATAAGATCAACTATACCATATTTTTAGATTGCACATATATGCATTAACATATGATATTTGTAATATATTTTGATGATATAAATATTACATTTACCAATTTCGGAGGATATACCATACTCATTCCTATCTAAATGCACATATAAGTAAAACTAATTTTTGATAATATAATTATTTATATTGTAAATCCTCAGAGACTGTATTTTGAAAACTGTGCTCCCCATTTCATTGAACAGAAAACCAAGAGATCTAAGGTTTTACTTTATCTCTAGGTATTGACAAGTTGTAGAGTTGTGTGACCTTACATAGGTCACCATTACAACCTGGGCTTCAGTTTATTCATCTATAGCAGAACTTCCTCTCTCTCCCTCTCTTTCTTGCTCTCTCTGTGTCAATGAATCCCACTGGGTCTCTCTCACTGATTTATGAGCCATTCTGAGAGTAAGTACTATATTCTGTATATATCTTCGATGTCCTCCTACACAGTATCTTGTCATTCAAGCAAAATCTATTAAATGCCTTTCCCACGAAATGTGCTAAAGGCTTACAGTTTGGAGGAGTGAGGGGTTCCATCCATCCACAGCCAGGCCTTGCCGCTGCCATTGCGGGATAGCCCTGTCCAATAAGAGTAGAAAAACTCAGAGTAGCTCTGAGGCATGGCAAACTCCTGTGAAAGGCACACAAGAAAACCTTTAGCTTTAGAGATGTTGTAATATATACATGGAGTTGTGTATATATTGGCTGGCTTGCACTTTTAATACAAGAACAACACATGAGTCCTGCCTGAGTAACTAATAGGACATTTACAAAAAACAGTGTTCATCCTGAAGTTAGCTAATTTGCCCAAGTTAAAGACTTATTTTGTCTTAGTAAGCATGGACTGAATACTGATGTGCTGAAATCAAGAATCACATCAGCCAAGATTTAGAAATGATCCACTATTTTCAAGTCACAAGATTAAATAGGATTGATATAAAAAAAATGCAGGAGACAGATTTGGAGACATCTTGGAAATGGAAGAATCTGGAAGGAAAAGTGCAGGAATGTGAAGTAATCTTCACAAATATATGTGATGGGGACTGACCAGGAAGGAGAAAAGAATAATGCAAAAAAAATAGGTAAAAGAGGAATTTATAAGGAGGATTTATGTCTCAGATGAAGAAAAAAAATGTTTCATATATTTATATATACATTTTTGTGTATTTACATATATAGAATTCCTTTTCTACTATCCATATTGAAAAATGTTTGATTATTTCCCTCTAAGTATTCTTATCCTTTAACATGGAATTTATCTAAATCTATTATAATTATATATTTTTACATCTTTTTCTTCAACAATACTATGAATTCATTAAGGACATACACTTCATTTTATTTATTTTCACATTCTTAACTCCTCAGATAATTAATGGCACATAATGGTTCAATAAAAGATTATCAGAAATATATGAAGCCATTGCTAAGCAACAGTCATAGAATAGGCATATCAAAGGAACTGTAGTAAAAATATTATCATCAAATAAATTGTGACCCCTTTATGTTAAAATTTCTATAAATAAATCATATGAAAGTGATTTAAATATATACAAATATACAAAGTACATGAAAGGAAACTACTATATAACTTTCATAATAATATTTCCAACCACTGAAAATAGTGTTCTTCAGTGGTATATCTGAATCCTCAGTATATGCTGGAAGTGGGAGAAATGAAGAGAATAAGAAAAATTAACAGAGTTTATGCCAGGTGACACTGGCTTGGCCAAATAAAGTGTCTCATTTTCTGCCTAAACTAAGCCATCAAGAAAGGATGAAAAAGATTTTAGTAGATGAGAGAAACTGCAGAGTTTCATTCATCACAGATTTCAGGAAGTGGAAAGGAATTAAGATGCAACTAGAAAGGCATTCTTCCCCAATGGCTCAGAGGTTAAAGAATCTGCCTGCAGTGCAGGAGGAGACCTGGGTTCAATCCCTGGGTCGAGAAGATCCCCTGGAGAAGGACATGGCAACCCACTCCAGTCTTCTTGCCTAGAAAACCCCATGGACAGAGGAGCCTGGTGGGCTACAGTCCTTGGGGGCGCAAAGAGTTGTAAGTGACTGAGCATGATGCACAAAGACAAGTTTATAGAAAGATGTTAAGAGTTTGCAGACTTAGTTGAGTATTAATTTTAATTAAATAACTGTTGATAAACTACTCTGTGCCATGACCCCTGCTGAAACAATGATAAATAAATAATGGTCATACTGCTTGAGGAATTTAATTCAAAGTCAATAACAAATGTAAGAGAAAAGGGAACAACCACAGCATTTTAATAGTGAATTTGAATTGCATGTACCTATCAATAAATACCAATTTTATTTTCATATTTTCCTTGACTACTCTATGTTAGGGTATAAACTCCCAGAAGACAAGATATTTATTTGCAGATTATGGAAACGATTTAATTACATGGTTTTCAATCAAAAGTTTTGTCACTTTCACAGAAAGACAGGAAGTGCTATCTTCATTCTTCTGGTATGGCACCTATATTGCTCCCTTCTTGCTGCTAAGTCACTCCAGTCATGTCCGACTCTGCGACCCCATAGATGTCAGCCCACCAGGCTCCCCCATCCCTGGGATTCTCCAGGGAAGAACACTGGAGTGGGTTGCCATTTCTTTCTCCAATGCGTGAAAGTGAAAAGTGAAAATGAAGTTGCTCAGTTGTGTCCGACTCTTAGCGACTCTATGGACCGCAGCCTACCAGGCTCCATCCATGGAATTTTCTAGGCAAGAGTACTGCAGTGGGGTGCCATTGCCTCTTACATAAGACAAAACAGGTTAAGAGATTGAGACATTCTTTATCTGAGTCCTGATGGTAAGTTTGAAGGACTTTCTTTCATGTTTCTAAGGGGTGGATATTTGTGGAGACTGTTCCACAGATGATGACCACAGAGGATCACTCAAAGCAATAAAAATAAGATTAAGCCTTGATTACAATAAATGAGAGAATCTGTGAACCTTGATTGCTTAGTATCTTTTTATTAAATTAATTTTTATTGGAGTATAGTTGATTTACAATATTGCATTAATTTCAGGCGTACAGCAAAGTGAATCAGTTATACATATATTCACTTTTTTCTTTTTTTAGATTCTTTTCCCATATAGGTCATTACAGAGTACTGAATAGAGCTTCCTGTGCTATAGAGGGATTTTTATATATAACAGTGTGTATATGTTATTTATTTTATCTATAACGGTATGTATATGTCAATCCCAATACCTCTTTCTGAGAATACTTCAAACACTCACCAAGCCTCAGGACCTTACCAGCACTTCCTGTGTGTTTATCTTCAGCATAGTCGAGTTCTCAGCAATGCAGAAATATTCACAGCCCTGCCAACTCTTACTTTCTTTATAGAATTGGTAGCATTTGTCCCCATGCCATTTCCATTTTTCTGGGCAAGGGCTACATCTGTGTTCTTAAAAAGAAACCAAATGAGTGAGTTATTTTCTACCCTGTCTTCCTTCTCTTAAAATCACATAATATTTGATGACCCAAGAAACAATTGATTCTATCTCTCTCTTAGATATGTAATTGCCCAGGCAATGATAATTAGAAATGTTTACTGAATACTCACTGTACGCCAGGAATTATAGTTGGGTTTATAGCAGGAACAAAAACAATATAGTGGGAGTTAGAACAGACACGATCTGCTTCCATGGGCAATGGACTCTAGTTATAAATGGTTAGAACTTCAAATTTCTTGCCCTGTGTAATTCAGCATAAAGAAAGTATACTCAAATTCATAAAGAACCTTTTCATCTGTTCAGAAACTCAATATGCATTGGATTTGAGAAACCATTGAAGTTTCTATAATTTTCTTCCTCAATATCCTCTTATACAGTAGTACAAGGATTTGTTAATGAAATATATAGCAATTGGATATGGATTATTTTCTCACTCAAATATAAGTAAATAAAATTTTAGAAAAAGACCACATAAATACTAAGCCAAGCATGAATTAAACCAGCAAATCTCCATGGGTCAGAAGTTAAGATGAACATCAAAGTCAGAGAAGTAAGTGCACAGACCAAGGGTGAGATGGACTGAGTCGGTAGTGACTATAAATGCAAGAACTAGGCTCTCAGAGCCATGGTCTAACACCTATGTGGGCACATGGTCATAGGCCTTTAAGAGTTGGGTATCTGAAACCAAGTCCCTTGTGGGTATGCAGTGAGATGAAAATCCCACCATTCCACAAAAATATCTTTACTTTAAAAGCAATCCAGTGTCAAAATGTTGACATCTTAAAATCTAAGGTCAACACGCAAATGGTTATTATATTCTTGTTTGTATTTTTCTATTTGAAATATTTCATAAGGTAACCCTGTATTTTATTTACTTGTAGTGTTATTTTGGTTATTCCAAGTTAACTGTACTTAGTATTTAAAAATGTCTGAACTTGATGAATCCCATCCTGTACTGTAACACAGACACAGTTGAACTACAAGATCTCAATAACTAGGGATGACCTGGCTGTTCAGGCCCTTTATTAAGTCTGCCAGATGACTTGCTGAATAATACATGCTTCCCAGGTACCCTGATGGGAGAATCAGCTCTGTATGGACAGATGTGCTGAGAACAGAGAGAAGCTCAGGGATCAGGACTCACCTCCAGTTTTGTTATAGAGCTCACGACAGAGTTTCTCAGCCACGTGATGCAGAGTTTCTGCAAGTTTCCTGTTTTGGGTTCGAAGAGATTGCAGCTGTCGGGAGAGATTCCCCAATCTTTCCTCCTTTTGCAAAATGCTCTCTTGCTGAGTATTGGAGAGCTGGTAGAACTGAAAAACTAAACCAAATTACCAAGTGAGGCTGGACAGCTTATTTCTTCACTTTTATTTCTATTGTCTACACCTGGGGAAAACAAAACAGTATGTTGTTTGAGATCCCAGGCTCTGAGATATATTGCCTACATTAAGGTTTGGACTCTAGTCTATAATAAATTGCATTGCCCTGGGCAAATGAATTTCTCTATTTCCTTATCTGAAAATGTAGAGTTATAATAACTGTTCCCAGCTTCAGGGATAAATTCCTTAAACATATTTACTGTTCAATAAATCTTTCTGTGTATACTGTCAAACCATTACTCAACCTAAAAGTATAAATCATTTATCTATTAATCATTATATTGAGCACTGACAATGTGCCATATGTTTTTATCACATTCATAGTAATATTATCATTTTTATATTTTATAACTTTGTAAACTGGGCTCAGTGAGAACAAGTAAGTTTTTCAATATGACTAGGCTAGAAAATTTCAACTTAGCTTTAAATTCCAAGTTTCTAAATCTAAGTAGAAACATCCTTCATGAATCATGAGAGTCACTTTATATCACTGAAAAGAATATTGTTTGCAAAACAACAGTTATATCAAAATTGGGGAGCCAGGGTAGAAACATTAAGATACACTTAAAAAATTTTTTTAAATTTAAGATTACAAACAAGTTCTGAAATTTCCTATAATACAAAACACAATTTTTGACATTAAAACCTGCTTTTATTGTTAACCACTTTCTTCAACTGTTCAGGACATATTGTTGTAGGGTCCCATCTGTTGAAATAAATTTATCCCCTTTCTTTTCTGAGTTTTAAACTTTATTCTTACTAGTTTGAAAATTAAAGACTTTTATACATGAATTCTTCTTTATTTAATTTCCACAAGTCTCTGCATAATGATTCTATAACTTCTTGGACTTCTTCATTACAATAGTGTGTGTGTGTGTGTGTGTGTGTGTGTTAGTCAGTCATGTCTGACTCTTTGCAACTCCATGGACTGTAGCCCACTAGGCTCCTCTGTCCATGGAATTTTCCAGGAAAGAATACTGAAGTATTCTAGGAAATAGGTTGCCATTCCCTTCTCCAGAGAATCTTCCCGACCCAGGGAACAAACCCAGGTCTCTGGCATTGCAGGCAGATTTTTTACCATCTGAGTCACCAGGGAAGTCCCCCTTTTTAAAATAATATTTAATATTAAATATAGTGGTTAAAGATTTGGCCTATTCTCTGTACCTTGAGGAGGTTGGATATAAATTAAATCTTTCCCTCTGCATGGCCCACCAAGCCATAAATGCCAGAAACAAAAATCACTGCAGCTGTAGTCTTTTGTGGAATGGAAAAGGGCTGATGTGTACATTCATTAAAAACTGCTGATGTTAAATATCGATAAATAAACAGACAAAAACCTTCTTATCGCACAGAGAATGTAAACGTTTAGCTGGAAAGTGATTGTGTATTTTAATGCTTCTTCCACTAGACTCATCATTTACAGGGTTTCATCCGAATAAGGACTTACTCACAGGCTCCAGAATCAAAGTTTAAAAAAATGATAAGTATTTCTCATCCTAGACAAACCTTGAAACCAGGATCCTCCCCCAACTCAGAGTGCGGACTTACACACAAGCCCCAGCGCGGCCAGGCCAATCAGCAGCCCCAAACAGAGAGTCAGCAGGGTCAGGGCCACTGGGCGCCAAGCCCAAGAGGGACGCCGGCGCTCTGCAGGGAACGGAAGCAAAGACAGGGTTTCACGTTTTCTTCCTTGTGGACCTACATCAGTAGCAAGGGAGTAACAGGACTTGGTTCTGACAGGTTTCAAGGTCTACATACCATTTCCTCGGTCCTGGGAAATAGTAACAAGGCTCCAGGCCACGCCTGACTTATTCTCCGCTAGATTCTTTCCCAAGCCCCGCCCACTCTACCTTCCTCCTCCACTCAGTCCTACTTTGCATTGAATCAGCCTATGCATTACTGTTAACCTTCTTTCTGTTAGAATTAAAGTCGCAAAAGACAATCACGAAAATGCCTTAACAAAGAACGATTTTTCACATCATCAGAGAAGTATTGTGTTGTTACTTTTTGCAAAACACTCCCTTTCCCAGTTCGAATTATTCCCAGTTCGAATAAGCAAATTGCCTATCAGTAATGAGGCACTGTTGGTAAAGAATCCTCCTGCCAACGCAAGAAAAGCGAGTCTGATGGCTGGGTCAGGAAGATTCCCTGGAGGAGGAAACGGCACCCTTCTCCAGTCTTCTTGCTTGGAAAATGCCATGGGCTGAGAAGCCTGACGAGCTACAGTCTTTGGGCAGCAAAGAGTCAGACACAACCGAGCTACCCACAATGAGACGCTATTGTTTTACTGTTTCTTTTTGGAATTTCTTTGTTGAAAGTCCTTCTTATTTTGCTTGTTCATTCCTTTGATTTTATAGCTCCAAAAATAGATGATAAATGCAACATGATCATCAGTTTTTCAATGATGGATTTAAGTAATCTCCACCTTGTACCCATTAAGGAATGGGGGGAAAAAAAAACACTCTAGCCAGCATCTTTCCCTTGCCCACATCCCACAAGCTTGCCTTCTGGTGATTGCATAGGTTCTGCTGAGTCAGGAATAAGCTCATAACCTTGTGAGGTCAGCTATCAGTCTGAATAACTAGCAATATCTGACTAGGAAGACCCACAGTCAGATGCAAATATCCTCTAGCATTGTGATAAAAATTAAAGGGCAAACTCTCAAACCCTGGTCTCTTTGTGACCTGTGAGTTTCACTTCATTGGGAATTCAATTTAGGTTCAAAGCAGAAAGATTAAAGACATATAAATTCATTTCCTCTTTAGCAAAATCCTCTGCATGATAAATTTCAGATACAGAGATTTGTACTATGCATTATTTCCAAGTGGGTAATGATAATTATTAATAGTAAAGATAGTATAGAAGTAGAAAATATGATCAATATCCTCTGAGACTTATCACCAAACAGGGAAAATAAAAACCAGGATCCAGACATGGATATATTTTAAAATGTGAATCTTATTTTAATTTTATAATCATATCTTTTTACAAAAACTTTCAATGGTGTGCATTATTTTTAGGATAAAATCCATTATCACTTTTCCTAAAGATAGATGGCTCTTTTTAAAAAGTGGGCATTTTATTATTGTACTTCTCAACTTAAAAACTGCCAATAGGGGGAATTCCCTGGTGGTCCAGTGGTTAAGAATCTGTCTGCCAATGCAGAGGACACAGGTTTGATCCCTGGTCCAGGAAGAGCCCACGTAAGTGGGGCAACTAAGCCTGAGAGTGTGGCAACTACTGAAGCCTGGCATGCCCTAGAGAGGCCACCACAGTGAAAAGCCCATGTACCACAGGTAAAGCATAGCTCCTTGTTCAGTTCAGTCAGAGAAAGCCAACACCCACCCAGCAATGAAGACCCAGCACCAGCCAAAATAAATAAAAATTAAAAAAAAAAAAAACACCTGCCAATAGCTTTATTGCACTTAGAATAAAATTCTACAAGCCTCTTTTTCATCTGGAGCCTATCTAGGTCTCTCATCCATTTCTGAACTATCCTCCTCTCACTCTAACAGTCTAGTCACATTGACCTTCTGTTTATCCTTGATCCAAACCACTGTGTCCTTGTCTTAGTACCTTTGTATTAGCTCTGTTTATACTCCTGCATTAGCCAATCCTCAGGTGGGTTACTGGTAGCCTACTTGCAATCCAGCTTCCCATTTAAATGGTGCATCCTTGTAAGATGTCATTGGGAGATCACCTCTAGCATATCATCACATTATGTATGTATGTCAAAAAAAAAAAAGATTACTAAGTGCTATTCTGTGGCCTTTTTTTTTTTTTCATTTATTTTTATTAGTTGGAGGCTAATTACTTTACAATATTGCAGTGGTTTTTGTCATACATTGACACGAATTAGCCGTGGATTTACATGTATTCCCCATCCCGATCCCCCCTCCCTCCATGGCCTTTCTTTTCTTTTGTCTATTTCCTCTGCTTGAATGTGCATTCCATTAAAACAGTGTTCTTGTCGGGACCTCCCTGGTGGTCCAATGGTTATGAATCCATCTTGCAGTACAGGGCACACAGGTTTGATCCCTGGTCAGGGAACTAGGATCCCACACGCTGCAGGGTAACTAAGCCTGGGGGCTGCAACTCCTGAATCTGCTTGCCGCAACCAGAGCGTCCGTGCAGTGTAAGTGTAAGATCCTACATGATGCCTGGGTGTCACAACTAATACTTGAAGCATCCAAATAAATAAGATAATACAAATTATAAAAACAATGATCTTGTCTATCTTGTTCATCAGTGTATTTCCAGCACTGAAAATAGTGCCTGGCCACATAAGGGCTGAATACATATTTGAGGGCTTCCCTCACAGCTCAGTCCATAAAGAATCTGCCTGCAATGCAGGAGACCCAGGTTCAATCCCTCGGTCAGGAAGATCCCCTGGAGAAGGAAATGGCAACCCACTCCAGTATTCTTGCCTGGAGAATCCCATGGATATAGGAGGCTAGCAGGCTACAGTCCAGGGGTTGTAAGAGTCAGACATGACTTAGCGACGAAACCACCACCACCATATATTTGAAGGAGCAAATGCATGAAGGATGAAATTATGAAAAACTAATATTACCTAAAGTATGTAATTTTTACAGAGGCACAGAGCATTGTCTATCATTAGGCTTTACAGGTTGATATTTTATTTTTTTAATCTATTGACTTTTCAGCAATATTTCTGTCAGCAGAGGGCAGACTCAGCTAAATTCATCTCCTGGCCAGACTGGTTTCTAGACACTGACTTAAGTGACATTCTGAAGCATAAGCAGATATAGCAGAGATTTGCTTTCTCCTCTGTTTCCTTCGAGCGGCTGGTCTATCTGGTTTGGTCTAAATTTTTCTGGAAATTGCTAGCTTCTTATGACAGCATCCTTCAGGATATCTCACGAAAGAGTAAGATCAGAGACTGAATACGGCTTGAGCTAAACATTCTCCCGCAAACCCCATGTCTCTTTAAAGTTCTATATAGCCTATATAGCCCAAGAAAATTAACCAGATGGATGTTTCTAGATTCCAGAGGCAAGTATATATGTAGACCCACCACCATGGTTAGCTTTATTTTTCTCTCTTATCTATTCAGTTTAGTCATGTCCGACTCTTTATGACCCCATGGACTGCAGCACACCAGGCTTTCCTACCATCAAATATACTATATATCCCACTTACTTGGAGTAGCGAGGAAGAACTGTGGGAGAAGAACTGACCCAGCACCAGGAAACCAGGCTTTCATGATGGAGAGACTACAGTATTGAAAGTTTTACTTATTTCTTTTCTTTGAAGTTATTTTTCCCTCTAGGTACTTTTTTTTTTCTAACTGAATTTAATTTTCCCAAGTTTTGTTCCAATGAATTTAATTTTCCCAAGTTTTGTTCCAAGCGCCCTGATCATAATGAAGTCTCTCTGAGGACCACTCCCACACTAAAATAAGAAAAATAAGCTGCCTGGAGGTGCTTCAGTTTGGCTTGGCTTTATTATGGCTTTATTTTTTGGAAGACAACTCTGATGCTGTCTCCTGAGGCATGTTTAGAAAAAGGTGTGGTCAGGCCAAGGAATGATACCAAACATCCCTAGGAATAATAAGATATATATAGGAAAAAAACACCTCTTTCCTGTAACCTCTTACTATAATATGCTATAAAAGGCTGTAGTGCTAAGGTCAAGTTTTGAATGAAAATCCCTTTGTAGTTACAAGAAATTTTATGGATGAAAGCAGTTGCCTTACTTGAACAACTGCCCTTCATCAGCCATCTGGGAAGAGTTTGTACACCTCCTCTCCCAGGGCCTCCAAGAAATAAAACAAAATTGCTGAATGTAGACTTTTTAAATGCTTCTGAAATAAGAAGGGTCCTAAAAGCTTGAAAAGACACAAATAATTGAAACAATTTGCATAAAGTCACATTGCAAACTGGGCTTCCCAGGTGGCTCAGTGGTTAAGAACCCACCTGACAATGCACGAGATGCCCATTCAATCCCTGGGTTGGGAAGATCCCCTGGAGAAGGAAATGTCAACCCATTCCAGTATTCTTGCCTGGAAAATGCCATGGACAGAGGAGCTTGATGGGCTACAGTCCATGGGGTCACAAAACTCAGACATGACTTAAACACTAAACAACAATTTATATGTCCAATCGAGTTTCGTTTCTGAAATATATTTCAAAGATAATATTACTATTAATGATAATTGCTAACATTTCTTGAGTTACTGAGATAAATACTGTATAGGAATTAATATCATCCATCCTTACAACTATGTTATGAGGTAGATAGTGTTATCATCTCAGTGTTACAGTTAGGCAGCTGAGTCCTAGAGAAGTTAGTAAGGCAATTAATTAGTTAGAGGCTAGTAAGGCAAGGGACTTCCCTGGTGGCTGAGAGGTTATTAAAGTGTCTGCCTGAAATGTGGGAGACCTGGGTTCGATCCCTGGGTCGGGAAGATCACCTGGAGAAGGAACAGGCAACCCACTTCAGTATTCTTGCCTAGAGAATCCCATGGACCGAGAAGCCTGGTGGGCTACAGTCCACGGGGTCGCAAAGAGTCGGACACAACTGAGCGACTTCACTTTCTTTCACTTTCAAGGCAAGGATACACAGCTACTGATGATAGTACTTATTGAGTGTGTTATATATATTTTAGTGTTTCATTTGAATCT